TATAACAGCACATGAAAGTGCTCAGGTGTGCAATTCATGACCTGCATGTAATAAAACAGATATGAGCAACAGTCTCATGTGCACGCAGAGGTGAAGGTACAACAGCAAGACACAGCATTACAAGAGAAGCAAATGTACAGACACAGCAGGTTTGCAGCAGAGATGAATTGCATCATGCAAAGTAAAAAGCATGCCCAGCAAGAAGGAAGATGTACAGGAAAAACTATAAACAAACCCATTCTGCATGAGTTCACTGCATATAGACTAACAGAAAAGATCAGGGCGTACAGTGTAGAAACAGTGACAGAGATGGTTTGGGGTTATCTGTTTTTTACTACAGGACAAAATAAGATAAAGACAGTGATAAGGCATTTGTAACTCACTATCTTAACAGCTTCTGAAGAAATCTCCATAATATTCAAAATCTAGGCACAAATAAGACTTCTTCAGAGTAAAAGAAAAAGTCCAAACATTAACACTGTCTATATGAATGAGACAAGGATGTTAAACATTCCCCGTTTGCAAAATGCTGCATTAAAATGCAGTTATTGTCAGTGATAGGAGAATGTCAGAATCCAGACCTTTTCTACAATAAACGTTTTCACATCAGTACTAGAAAGAAAATTCTTAAGACTGTGAACTTGAAAAGAAACCCATTGGCAGTAGAGCTCATAAAATGAAATCTCACTTCAGAGGACATTGAGAAAAAGTGCCCTGATTCATTTAAAAATCTCACCGAGCTTTGAAAACTCATGTTTTCTACAAGTACTGCTAACAACAAGGACCACAATAAAGGAGGGATTTCAACTTACGGTACAATTACGTATTTTGGAAAAGGCAGAGGATCCATTGGCATGGGCTAGGTTGAAAAGAATAACACAGGTGTAATTCAGGTACACACATACACACAGACACACACACACACATATGTGTATATATATCTCTATATCATTCTCTCTCTATATATATATATATGTGTGTGTGTGTGTGTGTATGTGTGTGTACACACCTGAGCCAGCCGCATAGCTCTTTAAGAACTATGAAGCATAAAGATACTATAGCCTACGAAGCCTAAGACATCAGCTGTAAGTCCTTGCAGTAAATATATTCTTTGAACAAACAACTCAAGTCGGATATTGGCAGAGTAGAAAAGATAGAGAAACAAGTTAGCTGCTTTCACAGTTCCACACTTTTTCTTAGAGAACTGATCAACGTGGCATGCGATGTGGAATGTAAAACAGAGCACTTCCCAAATCAGGGGAAGAGACTGTATTTGAATTACGTAAGAGAAAGAAAAGAACAGTTCACTCTCTCTGTTTCCTACTAATGCAGAACTATTCCTACCACATTAATTCATGCTTCTAGCTTGTTTTAGATATCCTAAGTGATAGACTACTCAAAGTCTATCACAAGTCTGCACTGAGCACTAGCTCACGTTTCTGCTAATATTTAACCTAACTTTTAAAAATCATTTTTAATTATCTGTCACTTGAATAATACCTATGCATGAAGGATTCAGCACGTTAGTTATTCGTTATGTTCAGGTAGCCTAACCCTTTTAGTGACAAGTTTCTAGATTCTCTATAAGGCTACCTGTATGAGAGAAAAGCATTGACTCACTGGTCAGGAGGAGGCAGGAGGGTATGTTTACACTGGGTATGTTAAACAGTAACGTTATTAGACAGATTATAACATTAACAGCAGTGACAAAAACAAAGTTAGCTCGCACTGTATGTGATTTAGAATGGTGTTTTAGAGAAGTTTTTTGAAGCAGTAACCATACGATGGACTGAATAAAGCATTTCTATTAGACCAGGATACGTTATTTTTGTAACATCTAGCATGTGTATCCGCAGGCTATTATTTGAAGCTTCTGATGACTGTATTTTTGTCTTAAATTACTGTTTTGAAGTTTCCCTCCTTATTTCTCTGTGTGCAGCTAGGACTGAGCAAGGTGTGTTCGTTGTGAAGATATGGAGGTGCAGAGCTCTGCTAGCTGTAGTACAGGGAGGTCCCGCAGCTCTGCAGGCATCACTGTGCAGCAGCTGCAGGCCTCCCTGAGACATATGCTTCTGTTTAACGATGAGAAGGAAGCTGTTGATTTTATCCAGCTCAGACCAGCCTGAAAGCCAAAGCTCCAGTTTGGAAGCTGTGACACAAGCTTGGGTTCCCTTTGCTGCCCGACAGGTAAGTGCAAATAGGAGAAAGACAGTATTTATGGTGGCAATCTCAAGGCACAGGCCAGGAGCCAGTCGGGCACCTAGAGCTGTGCCGCGGGTATGTCTGCGAGGCCTAATCAGTTAGCACTGTGCTCCCCGTAGGCCAGCTAGCTCTGCCAAAGAGCAGGGCACGTCTCTCTGGATGAAGTCACACGGTTGTCTGGCCCTCACCTAGGTGAGACATTGTCTGGTCTCACCTAGAGCTAGCTCAGGGATTTTTGGATGGCACTGCGATGTGCTGCATAGATATCCCCCTACCTCCCCATTACAAGAGTTGGTTCTTCCGAGTCAGGGCTGCACCTTGCACTGTTAATACCTGTGCTGCACCCCTCTTGCGAACACAGCCTCTAACAGGTCTCTTGGTAGAGTCCTGTAACATCATTTAATCCCAGTAAAACACCAGCCTCTACAGATACCAGTTTACAGCACTTAAAGCTTACCAAATATCTTGCTTCACTTGTCAAAGTCTTGGGTTATTATTTTGCTGTATCTCCTGGGCTTCCTGATATTATGTTCTACTAATATTGTGCAGAACATACCACGTGCCTCGGGGAGCAGTCAGTGCTGCCGTGTGAACCGCATCAGCACGCAGTTCTGCGAGTGTCACTGGGAACGCTGCTGTGGAGCCAGAGGTCCAGCTGAATGTGCCATTGGTGGGTCACTCATCAGCATCCTGTGAGGGGCCTGGGGCCCCGGACCACACTGCTAACCTGAAGGGAGCAAACATCATGAGTAAGAGCTGAAAATAACTGTACACTTAAGTTTTTACAACTCCAAGCCCTTTGAGGACTGCTGGAGGACCTGTGATCCATGAAGCACTTTCTGTAAGTCAGCACTGCAGCTTTATTCATATGCCATACACACTTTTCATTTTAAAATAGCCCGTTTTGACTTACTCAGACCATTTGAAAATAGGTTCAGATCTTTCTAATCCCTTTGCACTATACTTTTATGCAGTAGTTACAGTAAGTGCCACTTTCAATTACACATGTATATAATGAAATACAGTAAATACTTCAGGCGTGCTACTAATTATTCTCCCTCCCTGTCACCCTGAACTTGGCCTTTGCCTGCAACTCCAACAGGACATCCTCCCAGTTACCTCCTTTTTTAACATCTGGCTGCCCTGAGGCTTTTCTCTTTTTTTCTAGGTTAAAGACAAGTCAAGGGCAGTAAACAGCAAGGAAGTTGAATTCATCGAGCGGGGCTAGACCTCCTTTTCTGTGATGGGCCCTCAAAACCCACATCACTTCCTGTGCCTCCAGTGCCCTAAATAAAACCAGCCTAAGCAGCTCCTGCACTGTCGCCCAACCTTCTTCTCCTTTCCCCACACTTCCCTCCTCCTACCCGAACCAGATTAAGAAAACCAGAAAACAGCAGGCTCTGCTTACTGTTTCAGGGACCTGCAGCCTTTCTTTAAGGCGATCGGAGTTCAAATGCATTGGCTGTGGGGAACCACTCTCTGTCTCCCGCTCTCCTGCCACAGCACTGGCCAGCACTAAGCACCCAGGGCTGTGATTGGGAAGGAGAGATCAAGAAACTCCTCTATCCTGGACAAAAGGCAAATAAGCTATGATTATTCTAGAGTCATACTGCACATCAGAAACAAAATACAGGAAAGGGAGTATGTTCCAGAGACTGCCTCTGGGGTGCCAGTCCCAAGGCACCTCTGGGGCAGTGGCTTATATCCTGGCACTATGCTGACTTGGGACGCTGGATCACCCTAGAGTACCTGCCAAACCCAGATAACATCAAGACAAATAACATTATTTCTCCCTCCCTCCCACCCACTTTCCTGTCCCCGTCCATATGACTTCCTACTTCAGCAGCCTCAGAGTTCACAGATGTCGGTATAAAAACGGAAAGATTCTCCCTGTCTTTCCTTCCCCCACTTTCCTTATCAGGCTGGAAAGCCCCCAGGATCCTTCTCTTGCAGGTTACAGCTACTCTCAACTCATGCTGCCCCCTCATACCAACTCGTTTCTTGCAGTCTTCAGTAATCACCGAGTTAAATGAGAGCCCTGCCCCCAGCCCTCACAAAACACACTCTCAGATAAACACTCAATGGAAAAATCACATTCACCTTCTTTCTCTGCTTCCTGTGCAGCTTTGCAAGGCCTCATACCAATAGGTAGTTTCTTTGTTCTTTGGAAATTTTCTGTCCCCCTAATCTCTAGCCCCTGAAAAGGCCTTTGGATCAAACCACTAGCTAGCATGTTGTTCAGGCCAAAGCTGTTAAAGTTAATGACTCCCCGTACCTCATCTGCCAGAGACAAGCTTCAGCCTGTGTCAGCAAAGCAGGCATCCCTCCTTCACGTAGGAACCTTTTGCAATACAGCACTTTCTGTAACATCTCCATAGCACCAAGCAGAATTAATCAAATGTACTTCAGTGGACTTCCTATAGTGTCCCACTGGAACAGGGAGATTTTTAGTGTAAGAAGCAGAAAAGCAGATACTTAAAGAATGTGATATACCAGCCTGTGCATGACACACCTTACACTTTTTTTTTAATGCTTCTACATTTTCAAAAACTGCCTGGGTTCAGACTGTGCCAAACACCTCTTGAAAAACTCTTCTGATAGTATTTCTATTATGACCAAGCTGTTTAATAAACAAAAAGGAAACCTGTGGCAATACCTGTTTCAGATTCTATTTAGTAGATTCAAAAAAGTCACTCAAATGTACCCGGTTTTGAATGGGAAACTCGATGTGCACAGCTGAGATTTAAATTTGCCTGAACTCGTGGCCAGGAGTCTGACTGAAACCGGGAGGGCAGGAATTCAGTGGGAGGGATCACAAGTTGAGACAGGGTCACAAACTGCGAGACATTTGTATTCAATACTTTAAAATGAGATGGGGAGACAGCAGAGGGTTTTTGAATAGGATCACAGCTTGCAGTCACTGGCGGGATTTCACTGGGCTTGAGGAGTGAAAGGGGGAAAAGAATGGGGGACAGAGACACTTCAAGCACAGACAATGGGAATTGCTAACGAAGGACACGGGGAACTAAAAGGAATAATTAAGAGCTCCAATACCTTTATTGGCGAGTTTGACATCTGGTTAAACAATATGCACATTTTAAGCTTGACATCCAGTAGCTCCTGTACACAAACCAACACGATACGTCAGCAAATTTGCACTGCTGAAGATAAAAACAACGTGGACGCTCCAGGCTCTGAAGCGCGGAGCAGAAAGCAGTACGCAAGCGGGTTAGCTGGGAGGAGCAGCGCGGATGGAGGGAAGAGAAGTGGACACCCAGCGATGGGCATCTGTCTTCGCTGGCTCAGCTGAGCCAGCCGATTTCCACGGACTCTGTCTACAGAGACAGACCTCTACAGAGGGCGATTCACTGCACGTTACACTCCTGTTCCTGTGAATCCATTCCCTATGCCCTAGGGGAATATATACCTTTTACCACCAACTACCGCACTGGCCGAGGGAGACCTGGTGGCTAATTTTGCTGCCTATAGTTGGGGAGTGGGACGTCTCCCTTCCCTTCTCCCTCCCTCTTAAATGACCCCTTTGAATTAGCATGCATACAAGTGGTGTTCACCCTGTGGTCACAGCAGAGGAGCTTGTCAAGAAAGAGGAGATTTTGCGCACTGCCATGCATAGGAGATACACATACGCAGCAGATTTTGATTTTGTTTTGATCTGAGATAGACTTTGGTATTTTGCCATGAAACCAGGCAGCATAAAACTCTCCCCGCTCCCCCTGGCCCAAATAGCATAAGATTTGCTCAAGCAGTGTCCCTTCAATAAGTAATAGAATCAGTGTGAATGCCAAGTACTGTGTCCGTTTGGGTGAAAAAATCTGCATACACAAATCTCCTGTTTGCAACTCATGTGGATCTCAATCCATTCAAGTCAATAGGAGGCTTTCCACTGATTTTACCAAGATAGAGTAGATTTAAATAACTTTTGTAGACAAAATCCATTCACATAGCAAGCTCAAGTTGCTCCTAAAATCTAGCTGATTTGAGAAAAAATACACAGCCTTTCCTTCCCTGTCCCAAACTCTAACTGAACTGTATCCAACTTCTCAATGAATCAATTAATGATTAACCTAAAGGAAGCAATTTTTTTTTTACCAGTATTGACTGGTTGTAATTATATATATGCTTACAATATTCATGCTCCCTTATTAAAAATTTACCCAAATGATAACGTAGCAAAGAGATGCTGCCTTCTGTGTTTGAAGGGCAACAACTGCACATACTGACGTTTGTTGCTACATTAACACAGACAGATGCTGCAATTAGAAAGTAAAAGGCAAGTGGAGGAATCGTTTTGTGCACTGCCTGGGCTTCTCCTAAAATTGAAACGCTTCTTCAGGGAAGTGATAATGTCTTCACATGTGACCCTGGGACTACTATAAAATGCCAAACATCCATCCCAGCAGGTATGATCCTCCATGGCTACACTTGCAAATTGCTCCAGTTCATGAGGTTTGATTCTATTTTTAACCACTATTTCTATTGAATTTCAGTGTTTCCAGGAGTGTGTTATTTCTCATTTGGTAAGTATGCATATTATTTTTAGGAGTAATCTGTTCACGTGCTGAATTAGATGCAGAACACAAATGAAGGACAATTACATCCTGCTTTCAGTGCAACAAAAGAAAAACATTTAGGTCTATCACAATGAAATATAGTGTAAAGCAGGCAGATGATGCATTAATTTCATGTACTGTACTAATTTGATTGCTGGAAAAATGGATTTCTATGTTGGCCCAGAGTACCAGAGAAATTGAGTTAATGAACTCAAGATGGTGTCTACTAAAAGACAAGGTATTTCCTCTACTTGCGGTTAATACCAGTGTAGATTCTGTTTGAAGCTAGTTGATTTCCAACATAAAAAACAAAGGCACAAATATTAATTAGAGAAAACACACAGTTCAGGGCATCTAGAAGAACGGGTCAGGACCGTGATGGCACAAAGTCTGCATATCAGGTAAAGAAGTGGAAAAATACTAATAAAGCAAGTCTGTGTTTCATTCTAGATAATGCTATATGTCTCTCATATAGCATGTGACTCTGAAAACCAGGAAGGGAAATTGTGTCCAACATTTGCTGTCCTCCAGGTTCTGCTCTCAGGGGCATTTCCAATTAAATTTATTGGGAGCAACCACATGAAAAGTTGCTGTTGCTACGTTCCTATATGCCTGGAAGGATGCAAGGCATCAGAGCAGGGTAACGTGTTGTCTAGTTTTGGCGCACACCAAAAGGCACTGGGCATGGCCTAGGCTCTCCAGCCCACCCAGAGAGCCCAGGATTCACAACTAGTCAAAGAAAAGATAATGAAACAGAAATAACAACTGCGTGATGAGCTCTAGTCTACACCTTTCCTGCTGCCACATCCCTTCTTCCCTAAGAGCAGCCTCAGGAACTGATTTTCTCTGGTCATTCACAGTGCTGTTGGATCTCCTCTGCAAGGTCAAGACACCGCAAAATTCGCCATTTCTCAGCAGCCAGCTCTTCCTTGGATACCTGGCCCAGCAGTTTTTTGGCAAAGAGGTTCTGATCCTGCATAAAAAGGCCCACAGCAGACCTCGGGGCTTGAGGGAAGTCCTCCAGGCAACCACTTGTGAAACAGAAGTTGATTTTCTTTTCACGTCTCATCCCTGGTCCTCTTTCTTCAATCCAAGTCAGAGGTCTAATGTGGAGGAGCAGAGAAACAAAAGAGCATTTATGAAGAAATAAAGCAAACAGTTCTATTTCTGTTCCTCAGCATTTACAGAAAATGTCCTAATAAATGTTCCATTTTTAAGTTTTGGTCATCGCATGTTTAGATGACACATTCTGACCACTGTGCCTTATGGAGCTGAACACAAGGTAACAGTCGTAACTCTGCTACCACTTCATGCCATGACTTTCAGCACACTACCTAAGCTCTCTCCAACTTTGTCTTCCCTAGGCACAAAGTGAAGCCAGGGGCCTCTAGCCACCTTACAGGTGAGAGGGAAGTTTAATTCATTAATTTGTGGACTTGGATAAAAAGGGCAGTTAAACATCCAAATATTTTGTGCATGACTCAATCACAGCTAAGCTCACAAGGTCCTCAATATCTGGTCATCCCTCCAGGGAGAATACATACATGTAACTCAGATATATAATGATGATCCATGTGCTACTGTGCAAGCTAAACTCCACCCCTTTAGGATGAGCTTGACAAATGACAAGTAAACTCAGGCCGACACTAGCTTCTGTACTCTCTTTGAATTTTTCAAAAATTGCTTCTTTTTCTTTACTGGGAGCACCGAGTTGATCCTGAAGGCTATGCCAGAAGGTGTCAGTTTTGCCCATTTCAGCTCTCAGAGAAATATCCAGCCTGATAATCTGCCCAATCTCCCCACAAAAGACTAAACGCTTGCCTGCAGGAGAAGGAAAGAATCAGGCAGGTCTTTCTTAATCAGAGCAAAGTCCTGTATTATGGCATGCAATGAACTGCAGCTGTAGCCACCACCTCTAGGCCACGTGCTGGTGCTGCTGGCTACCACAGCTCCCCAGCCCCTGGGCTTTCCTCCGCAACTTCACAGAGGGAAGCACCATGGGACAGTGCTGCATTGCTGCCAGGGTCTTACCCAACCCCATATCGTGACCCAACACAGCAAACACTTGCAAAATGGTCCTCAGCACCCACTACAGACAACCCTTCTCCTCCTGCTCTTCTTTAAGCTGCCTAAACTGTACCATTAACCAACTGCAGCCCATTCATTAGCACTCATTACTGCTTCTGCTTAGAAGATGCAGACTATTTTTCTCCCTTGGTTATTGATAGCCCTTCCACAGTCCTTTATGGCCCACTTTAGTTTGCCACTAACAAATTACATGGGCATTGATAGCATGCGAGAATAAATGCTGTCTCCAAGTACAGCCCACTAAATCTTCAAGATCTTTAGCTCTGGAAAGAAAGTCCTTGTCAGTCTATGCTGAACGCGTTCTGCAGAGCCCTCAGCTTCACGACTCTGCACCTCTAATCTTTCACACTTAGGAGCCAGGTTGTATATTCACCCTGCAATATCAACTATTCTTTGCTCACTGTACTGCCACGCACAGATCCTATATCCTTGGTCCAGATGGACCTGACTGAACACAATTAAACTACTGAAAAAAGCACCCACATCACAGCCTAAAAAAAAAATCACAGACAGAAAATCTGCACAGGACTATTAAATGCAGGGATGCTACATCTGATTGAGGAAGTTCCAAGGCTACATGCCACTGCGGGCTAGAAGGCTGTTTGAGGGACGTAGCACTCGGGGCTTCCCATGGCTTCAACCACGGTTAGAGGCAGGATGCTGAGCTAGCTGGATTTTCCTCTCACGCAGCACAGCCTTTTTTATATCCTCAACAGCAAATAGCCACAGAGGTTCCAGGCCACTGTTGTTGGGGGCTGCTTTATCTCAGGTAGGTGCAAAGAAACCGCAAGGCAGGCATAAGCAAACACCTTCCACTGGGTAATATCGGGGAGTCTGCAACATAGTCCCAAGTGGGAAATGTCAATATAGGGTCACCTCCCCAGGGTGATCTAGAGCAGATGCAAATCAGTGGTGGGAGTCAAGCTTATAACTTCTGCTCTAGCTGAAGCAGAAACTGGTTCTGCTGAACCAG